ACACTAATTTAGATTATTTTCTCTATGTTTAACACAAAAGAGTCTATTTTGGGTTATCGCAAATTTTTGGAAACCCTTAAGGCGATATCGTGGTATAAATAATTACTAGGTACGCTGTCGGGAAAGCTATAAAAACGGTGAATCGACGGACGGACGGATAGGCACAATGTGTTAGATATTAATTCCCAAATTATAGGTTACGCCGTTTCGTGCAAAGGTGTTCGAGCAAAAACGTCAACAGAAGTGCTAAGAGAACCAATTATTATTTTAGGCACATCTAATGGTCCTTCTCAAACAGCTGCCTCTACAAATATTTATTATTTGGAAAAGATTGCTTTTATATTATTACCTACTTGTGCATGTTAAAAAAAGAAACATCACAGCACAATTTTTTTCAAGTGTGGCGGCCGTGGGTTTTCAGAGAATTTTTAGAAACCTAATTTTTGATTTCATTATTTACTTATATTTTAAATTATGATATATAACTACGAATAACAGTTTTTTTGTACCTAAGAACTCAATAAAATATTTATTATAGCTATTATTATTATCGGAACAAATTGGCAGTACTATCTTTTAACTTATTTTCCTTACAGCATTTACAAACCTATTTAAAATTATTGCACACCACAGCAATTTCTACTCAGAGAATTACTAACATAAATTAAGTACCCAATAAACATTTTATAAGTATATATCAAAAGAGAATACTAATTATACTGAGCTTTGGAGCTCTGTAAAACCTATTTTGAATAAACTTTATTTTACTCTTCCTTATAATATATAATATATAAACCCACCAAATCATTTTCATGTAAAATCATGCCAAAACGAATCCACATGACTCGCACTGTCAAAAAGTTATCAGATCTGATGTAGAGTTGAGATAATCATCAGGAAATCAGTTTTTAAGATAGCAATAAAATCTAAACTATAGGAGCTATGCGATTAAAACTTAATATGTTTGATAAGTCCGCTATTGACAACGTATCCCGAGAAATTTGTGTATCTGGTATAATCCAAACCCAACTTATGTGTTGAAACACACCACGAAGCGCTTTGAGAAATGGTAGGTAGTGCCCTTGCGCCTTCGCTTGGCTCGTCTTGTCTTCTTGGCGGGGGCGCGTCCATGCTTCCAGGGGGCCAATCGTCTAATGAGACTGCTATAGCTATCGCTATCGATTACGATTTCATTTTGTTATTTCTGACTACCGAAGATTTTCAAATGCCCCGCACTTTTTTTTCTTTTGTATTGGTAACAACAATTATAAAAAAACTAGCGTAAGTATTTGAAGCCTTTGGTAGTCAGAGGCGATAGCCATAGCAATTTTCTTACGCGATTATCCCCCAGATCTGTACCAGCTATGGTTATCGAGTGTGTTATATAATGGACATCAGCTGTCGCTAGTTAAATAGGACAGTATTATCTTTATAATTAGTATCATGTCTAATTATACCTGCCTAATGACGTAAAGGCTATGTAATGAGCAACAATTGAACAAATACTTATTAAGACTATATTGTATTATGAATTTCCCACATCTGGTAATCGTTTATTTTTGAAATTTTATGCAGTAGATTTGTAGTAGTGGTTAATTGCTTTTTATAATGAAATCGCGTCACCCCTCTTCTATTTAAGAGTTGACCTAACTTCATAGTATTTTCCACACGAATAAATTCATTCATCAACATTTAAATTACAAGGAAATTGAGGTTATTTGGTAATGAGCAAACATTTAAGTATATATTTCATAATAACGTTTACCTCATATCATATCATTTTCTGATATTAATAGGTATATCTATATTTATTTCTTAGGTTTTCACGCACATCACTCATTAAATAAAACTAGTTTTAACGGGTTAATGCACGAAACTTTATTTATTTATTGACGTTTCGCAGCCTTTTCAGGTCTGCTTCGTCAGTATAATGATTTTTTATTTAATTTTGTCGAGCTACCTTCGAAAGACTTTTATTGAGGGTTCGGTTATTTCATTGTTAGATTTTTAAAATTTGTTGTCTATATATGAATTTATAAGTTAATTATATATCTATATGTTTTTCTTCCTTCCTTTCTTAATAATGGTAGTATCAAACTTCCTTATTTATATTAGAATTAAGTTTTGATTTTCTGATGAGAATTGATAATAATAAACCAATTTAGTCAATATAGGATAAAACTGTTACGTTTCAGAACATTGTTGGCACGGTTAAAAATATCTGACAGGTATTTTGTACTGCATATTTTATAATTGTATTCAATTCGAAATAAAACAATTTGTATGTTTATAGTATCACAGAGTGGTTCTCTAGGTAGCGGGTCAGATGGTTATTAAAGATCATTTCTAACCCCTCCTTTACACCAAGGTATAAAGACATGTATTCAACAAATTTTATACAATGTCTTGATTTTTTGTTCACACTTATGTACATGTATAAAACATATAGTATATAACACTTGCATCAAACTTGTTGGATAAACAAAATATGTTAAGTAAATAAGTGACTTATACTTGTAATATACTAGGTATGCAGTGTTAACGAAATAATGTTTTAAACAGCCACAACAAGTTGGTAGAAAACGAGGGGTTAAATTTTGCAGAACACAGAGGTGACAGATAACAGCCGGAGGTTGGCCGATTCTGAGTGGTTGCATTTTTCAGGTACCAGCACATTGGCATCTCTCCATGTCTCCAGTTACATACCTGAGTACGTATAACGTATTATATATATAAAAACCTAACGTGTTCGAAGAGAAAGTAATGCATTTAAATGCCTGTAACCTTATTTCTATTACTATTTATGTGAGACTACCAGATTAAACTTTTAAAATTCCAACTGGACAAACAAGAACTGCCGAACACTTCAAGGATTTTTAAAGATATTTTAAGCTCGCAGTGGTCATTTGACACATATTTTATTCATTTTTATTTTTAAAACAAACTATCTACTTAGTCACTGATCAATTTTTTACCGAACAATTTATATTATTTTGTATTCCAAAAATGAGAGTTCTTGTTGTGCTTTCTTCTAGGTATAACGGTACCTTTACCTACGTATAAATTTAGTTTGTTGAAAAAAGTAAATATCAACTCGCACATTTAATAATCTACTTGTACTTTAATACATAATAACTTCTTACAGAACTTTATGATTTTAATAGGGAATTTGAATAACTATGGTTTGACATTAAATAAAAGTTTAATGTAATATACCGAGTTGTTATAAAAAAAGTTCATAAGTAATTTCGTTTCTTACTTAAATATATAATATTCTAGAAGAATCATAACTATATAATACTGAATTTAAATAAACGTTAAATACAAAAAAAATACTTCACAAATACCCATAACTGCTATTATTTTCAAATACTTTGTTGTGAGTGTACAAAATAAATAAATACTTATACTAACTTAACGCATAACCGCGTTGCTTTTAAGCCGGTAAGGTCTACATAAGGTAACTTGCTCTACATAAATATTAGTCAAGCCCTTGCGTCCTTAACAAGGATAGCCATGATTCAGCACCCGCCACAATCTAATATCACGACTTATTAGCGGACAAACGCAGCGGTCGCGCCGCGTTACACCATGAAACAGACCACCATCGCGACCGTTTTTTGTCGTATGTAAAAGCCCCATTAATAGCCTGCCCAATGCTGCCGCCCACGAAGGTCCAGCAACCCCTGAATGTTAAAAGAAATTAGTAAAAGCGTTGCGAATAGGTTTGTGAGTAAAGCTACCGTAAAAAGTTCCGTTATCTTTTCACTTTATGACGATATAATACATGTAGTTAATTTATGTTAGTTGATCTTACATAAGGATTTTTTTTATTTACGAGTGGCTAGCTATCTTCTTAAAAGCTATATCTTCTAAAGCTTTAGTAGAGTGTTATAGGTAGTATATTTAACAACATATAACTAAAAATTTTGAAGTAACGTAGTAGGAAGATATTAATTTGTTAAATGTATTCACGCCACGCCGCGCCGCTCCGTTTATGCTAGAAAATCGTTTATAAACCCATTTATTTCTGAACGTAAAAACGGATAATATTGATTTACTAATATTAACTTCAAGGCCTTATTAAATTAATCATAACTTTTAATGTTTATAGTAGACTACAAATGTTTACTTTATATTTGAGTTTAAAGGAAAATAATCGTAACCATATTTTCTTTGAGGAAAATCACGGTAGTTGTTTATACAACACCAAAACCAAAAGGAATAGAAACGCAGAAAAACTTAGATATTATCAAATGAAATAACTCTAATATGATTTTGATAACTTATTATTACCTATAATAATAGACTTACAATCTTGAATACGTGTAGGAAAGTATAACTAACAATTCATTTTTTTGGACGCCTTATTTATAAAAAACCTTTTTTTTATTTAATGAACCACTCATATATCAAACGAGCCATGTAAAACAGCAAAATGAGTTGGTATATCTATATGTAGGAAATATTCTTGGAGAAATGATCCAATTGGTATACCTTCCACTTTTCGGTCGTTATCTTAACATAACAACGAGAATTATATTTTAATCCACCTTTCACTTCCTAACAAACGCCTGGTTACTCGTTACTACAAAAAAATACATTCTAATCAAGAAAAACAGAAAATTTTGTTCATAACATTTGGGTTACTATGGAGAAAATTAATAAATCAGTTTAAATCAAATTTAAAATCAACTATTCTTGGGACCTTTATCCCAACTACTCAATGATTACAAAAAATGGCTTTATCAAATTAAATTATATATTCCTTATCATGTTGGCTTTTTTAGTCTGCCAAAACTTTTTTTTAACTACCAATGAACAACATGATGACGTCACTTATCTTTATTGCATTTTATATTTGGTGGATAAAAAAAAATGTTTTGCTTGATCACTGTTTTTTTTGTAAGATTTAATGATAAATAATAATTTAGCAACCATCAAAAAACTTGTAAAGACAATCAAGGTCAAGAACTTATTACCAATAAAACAAAATATGTTCATGTAATGATAATTTCATTTAATATTCCTATCAATTTCATTATTACAACAAAACAATATTTACAATTATAAAATTAGGGATCTGTCAAAATAAACAATAAAATTTAAATCATTATTTTCTTAGCTACAATAAATAACATTTTAAAATGTAGGTACAACTTTCTAATTTACATTAAAGTATCTACAAACATTAAAATTATTATCATCAAGAAGAAGCATATTTACAAACATCAACATAACGAAAGCTATATTTTTTATTATTATTTAATTATAATTCTCTACTGTAAACTATCAAAATTGGTTTCTTATCAAAATTTTATAGTAGGAATGCGACGGAATGTCTTTTTAATAAATACATAAGTATTACAACACTACCTTATCAGTTTTATTAGTACCTACGAGTGAGATCTCTATAATTGTGATGACACTTTCTACACAGAAATAAACCACTTGAGAAAATGCCTAATTACTATATCTGTCATTCAGTCTATTTTAGATCTAAATGAATTATAAAAAACGTTTTGTGTAAATGCAATTGACGTGAAATGCTGTTTCATTATTTGGTATTCGACTGCTTTTCAGCCCTGTAGAAATAGGCCGAGGCAGCACTGGTGCGGCGAAGTACGAGCGGAAACGTCTGCAGTGTGTGTTTACATGAGTTTGTTTTCACAAAATCGCCGTCGAGTCACAGTCGCCGCCAATGCGGCCTCGGACTTAGGGTGTGAAACCTCAAATCGGAGGTTTCTCTATAATTGACATCCGCGTCATAACAGTTTTATTACAGCTGTGTACTTACAATCTAGCATTGCACGAGTGTGTGTGGCAGTGCGCGTTATGTCACGCAACGGGGAGCGGGTGTGGCAGGTAACAGGGGCGAAGCGCGTGCGCAGCTGCCAGTAGTTCGGCGTGATAGCGCTGCGCTGCCATCACGTATGGTGGAAGGGCCATCGCCATCACCGGCTGCGGAGGCGACGGTGGCGACCGCGGTGGCTCGGGCTCCAACAACGCCTCAATGGTGAACGCCCTCCGAGGCCTCTCCCGCACCAGCATCGTCATCCCGCCTACCTCCGGCAACTCCGCCGGCTCCGGACTCAACTGAGGACATATCGCCGGCGTGTACAAACTAGCAGTCGGCATCGCCGGCGGCGGCGGAGCTCCCGCTTGACGCGCCAAGAAAGCTCTGTTGAAACTCGCCAAAGCGGCCAGCTCTGCACTCAAATTATCTTTCTCCCCTTTCTGCAACTTGAACCGTTTGCGGCGCCGCAGCAGTGATCCATTCTCGAACATGTCGAAGGCTTGCGGGTGCAGGGTCCAGTACGCGCCCTTGCCTGGACGGTCCGGCCGCCGCGGCACCTTCACAAAACAGTCGTTGAACGACAAATTGTGCCGTAGAGAATTCTGCCAGCGCTGTGTGTTCCGCCTATAGTACGGGAACCGGTCCGTGATGAATCGGTAAATCTCTGACAGTGGCAGCATGCGCTCCGGAGAACTCCATATCGCCATGGCCGTCAGAGAGATATAGGAGTATGGCGGCTTTTGATCCCCGTAAGATTCACGCGAAGGTCGCGGCATTTTCACTTCCACCAGAGAGGTAACAAATTAAAGTTCTCAGAGTCAATAATAACAACACCACGTATACGTGTACACGTCACTTCGATATGAGATGTAGAGAGCAACTGAGGCGAAGAGAGCCCGGTGAGCCCCGATGTCGGCCCGCCCGTCGGCCGCCGCTGCCTCCCCTCACCCCGCGCACCCTCTTCGATCTCATTGGCCCGTTTCCCCGCCAATCAGAACCCACGACATTCAAGTATAATGTCGGCTTTCGGTCCACTAACAAGGAATTTAAATTGATATTATGTTTATATTGCCTCCAAATATCTTTTGTGATGACACCGCTTTTTATTTAGCGTATGTAAATTACGATGATACAGAAAAAGAGATTTGAATTATACACCGATTCGACGATGAATGAGTGTTATTAAAATTCTCAGCATTGTAATTTAATCGGCGAGATGAAACAGTACCGGCGGGTTGATGGTGCACAGTACCGTAAGTGAATTTTTAAATTGTAAATGAGGTGCTCGCCTAATGTTCAACAATAATTCATTGAAATCTCAGAATACAGAACAAACGTATTCTGAGATTGAAATAGAGTTTTTTCATGTTTTGCTCCAATATCGCAATTTGTGAATTTTATTTCATCGTAAGTAACTCATAATGTTATCTATAGTAACTTTGCTAGGTACCTACCTACTGATTACTTACATTCTGATTACAAACATACAATTGTCTTATTACAGAAACAAACTTACACATAGTTTTGCTGTCATAATGAATGATAAGCCAATAAAATAAATTATTTTCACGTAGTATTTATTCGCTAAATAAAATGTTCACTTCCTCAGATTACAGGTACCTAAATATGTTTGATTTTGTCATCAAATATCCTACCTACTTGCCTAGTTACTATAAGGTTTCTTTCATGATAATCTATATCTGCCTAATATGTAATACAAGATCGGAAAAGTGGTCGTCTTGCACCCATAAAATATGTTTAATCTAGATTTTTTATAAAGAAAACAAATCGAAATTTCGTTGCCCATAAAAATATGTAGTTCATGACTATTTTTAATAAAAAAAAATACACACATTTTTACAAATACTTTTGTAAAAATTTAATTAACAATTAAAAAGTTTAAAAATAAAACTGATAAGAACTATAACCACATGAAACATGCTTTTATTTAAAAAGTGGGACTTAATGTTATCTATAAAATGGTATATTTCTCATCAGAATTAAATTATTTTTAACTTCGTAGCTATTTTTATTACCAATAAAAATGTATCGACTTTAATTTTTAAATTAAAATTAGTCATTAATAATTTTTATAGCAACGAAATGACGATTTGTTTTCATTATAAAAAATCTAGATTAAACATATTCTATGGGTGCAAGACGACCACTTTTCCGATCTTATATTACATATTAGGCATTTATACTTTTCATCTGGTAAGCTTAACTCTTTACACCTACAAAGAAATGCACAGAAAAAGTAGAGAAGTAGAATTTACTGTTTGTCATAGTGATTTCATTATGTATTTATTCTATAGCTATCATAAAAAAATATTAGATTTATTTTTTATTGATTTATAGATTAATGTATTGATTCTTTCTTCTTATGATTATGATTTTATTGAATTTAAAATGTAATGATAACAAATTTTCGTATATTGTTAAGAATGTCATAGAGGCACATTTATATAAATTTTAACAACTTATTGTTACCGATGACAACGAATAAATGATTTGATTGATTGAAAAAGTCACAGGAATCATTAAGTCTAAGTGGTAAGTATAATATAAGATGAAGATCACAGCAGAATGTGATATTAAGCTATCAGTATTTACTTATTTATGAAAAAAAAACCTTTTTTTTTTATTTATTAAAAAACTCTAAATGTACATATTTTTCAGATAGTTTATTTTTTAGAGCATGTTTTAATGTGCCTTATTCAACTGAAAAATACCTACCCATTGCCAAAGATAAATGTTGCATTAACCATTACCTATATACATACTTACCTGCAATGAATCCGGGTGGGAATATATGTATTTTTTATGTTAAAAGGGTGACAACACAAGCGTATACAATATATATTTTTGGTTTATTAGCGCGCCTAACGGTTGCGATACCAAAAATATCACTCGCACCATTGTCTGCCTTGACGCAATCCCCTGCCTCGTGGAGCCCTGGATCCTTACTCACCGACAGTAACACAAAACCACCAAAAGGCAGAATTCTTCGAGAACCAGCTAAGTTTTTGGTTTATTACCACTTTCAAACGAATCAATATACGTTAATTGAATTTATTGCTTACTAGCTGTGCCCCGCAGTGGTACCCGCGGTTTATTAGGGATATTTTCCCGCAGTCAAACGTAGCCTATGTGTTAATCCAGGGTGTCAGCTAACTCCATGCCAAATTTTATTAAAATTGCTCTAGCCGTTTAGACGTGAAGAAGTAACAAACATACGCACTCACAAACTTTCGCCTTTATAATATTTGCGTGATTTAAGGCTTTCAGCTAAAGTTTGATCAAATTGTCATCTTTTCATCGTACTAATACGATCGTTAAAATGCTGCTAGAAAAATAATGTACAGAAGGCCATAAATCAATTTCCTACATTTTTTTTTTAAAGATTGTGTATCTTGTACGCACATCAAAGAAGTCTAAGCAACATGCATATTTTACGTAAACTGCAACTTTATCCAGTTCCAGCTTATTAATTATCTAATTTAAATGTTTTTTTGCTTTAGTCACAAATAAATCTATTGGTAATAACCAATACTAATTAAAAAATAATATAAGTAAGTATTAAAATATAGAAAAGAGTCAAGCATATATAAGTAATGGCTTTTAATCGTTTAAGTTAATTACCGATGAAGCAGAGAGATTACTTAATTATTTTTACCTAATAATTATTTTGCATTCCAAATTATTATTATTAAATACGTTGATCACTTACCATCAGGTGAGCCGTCTGCTCGTATGCCCCCTATAACATAAATTAAAAAAAAATGTAATACCCAGTCACCTGTAAATAATAACATCTTAGCTTTGTACGCTGGCAAAAAAATATTACGGTGTCAAAAAATATTTAGTGACCAATCATATTGTCTTCCCTAACTTTCCTTTACCAAAAGAATAGAAGATATTCACATGTATTTACTTATTCTAACCTTAGGGGCCGTCCATAAATTACGTCATCGATTTTTTCAGATTTTAGACCCCCCCCCCCCCCTACAATCATCCTATCGTCATTTCTTAATGACCCCCCCCCCCCTTCTCCCAAAATTGACGTCATTACCAGTTTGACAATATTAAAACATTGCAGATTTGAGAAAAGCTAGTATTATATGTAATATTATTGTTAGAGTATTTTATCTGTAGTTATTACTGTATTTGTGTACATCTATGTTGCATTATGTATGTTTATTATGAGTTATTTTAGTATTGTACGTGCCTTAGCCGCCTCTCACATTTGCAGTCTCACTTACTAGGTGTGCTGGAAGAAATTTCTTTTTAGAAATAATCTTTTTGTACGTGAACAATAAACTATAAATAAATAAATAAGAATGACGTCAATTTCGAAACACCCCCCCCCCCCTATCTATCATTTACCGTCATCCGCAGACCAACCCCCCCCCCCTCTAATTTAGAATGACGTAATATATGGACGGCCCCTTATGTAAAAATAAAGAAGACTCGAATTCAAAATAAGGATTCCCGTAAACAATCCTTATAAAGCATTCCAATGATTCTAAAATAAATACTTAGAAAATCTGAATAAAATATCTTTTACATAAGATATATCTCCAGGGTAAAGCGGGGGACAGTGTAACAAGGGGTCATAGTGTTACATGAGAAATATCTCTGTAACTTAACCCGGCCGCATATGAAACTAATAAAACACGTCAAGACAGATCATAGACAAATAAGAAAAGGGCAGAGATATTCCGTATGTTACACTATGCCCCTTGTTATGCTGTCCCACCACTTGACCCTAACGTTGAACTAGAGGTTGAAAAAAAATATTGAAATCCATATACCAGACTCTATCAGAGTCGGAGACTTCCTATTATGAAATGAAATGAACCCTTATTGGCCATCTTAACAAAAGAAAAACTTAAAAATAAAAAAATACAAGATAACATAACCTTAAGAACAAAAAAGAATATAATAATCTGTGACGGCCAATCAGGACCCTGCCTCAGCTTATGCTGACACAGTGAGTGACAAAGTACTTTCTCACTGTATCAGCGCTGATATTCTGTCAGGACCTGGGCGAGGTCGTGACAACTAAAATAACCATGTATTATAGAGTCAGTGAGTATGAATTGTTTTCGAATAACGACTACTTAAAAGCTAACACAAAAATACGCCGCGTTGTCCTTCTTCACCACAACAACGCGCCCGCCCACTCTGCGATCAAAACGAAGGACTTCCTGGTCTACACACCAGTCAGAGTCTTGGGACACCCTCCTTACAGTCCTACTATAGCTCCGTGTGACTTCTTTTTATTCCCGAAAATAAAAAATCTGCTCAAAGGGATACAGTTTTAATCGCTGGAAGAAGCGCTAACAGCGTTTGAGACGGCCGTGGAAGAGGTGACTGCGAAGGATTGGAAGAAATGTTTTAAAAAATTTGTTCAAATGCATGAAACTTTGTATAGAGGCTGGTGGAGAGTTCTTTAAAAAGATTTAATAAAAATATTTTTTTCATAGAAGTTAGTTTTTTAGTTTCTTAAAACTTTCTGAGTTTCCTGGTAATGATTAATAAACCGCCAAATGGTAAGTGGACACTTTATCCTAAAGAAGCTTGCAATACTGCAGTACCTATTGCTTGCACAACAGTTCAATCTTGTCCCATAGAGACGCATTACATGACAGCCTCACAAATTACTGTTCAACCAACGGACAAGCTAAATACACTTCAACAGCGACTCAATCGGTTTTCCAAATCGTGCAACAATTTCTATAGAAATCTCGGGCAAACAAAATCAGAATCTAATATTTAACCAGATGGTGGAAAGTGGACATTGCGATGAATTTCATCTACTTTTGGAAATGAAAAAAGTTTATCTCCACAGTCACGACTGAGTTTTTTGACAACACTGGCGATACCGTTCGTCGGAGCCGAAGCGCGGAGGTGGTCGAACCGTGTAAAAACTGAAGCTTCACAGCAATATCTACCAATACAAAGTAGGTAGTAAGTACCTAAGTAAGGTAAGTGATACAACTAAGGCCTACCTAATTTCAAACACTCATATCATGATAAATTATTCGAAGAAGATGATAAATAAAAGCAAGGCATTATTCCTTGGTTCATACATTTTAAGTAATTAAGAAAACATATTACAATCTATTATCAGAAATCTCTTAAAAAGAGCTAATTCTGGAACCTTAGCCTTAGGCCTTTAAAAAACATAGTGACTCAACAAAACCTATGTACTTAAATTATAGGAATATTGTTACTAGAGTATGAATTATATTAAAATAAATATGTATTTCTGAGCCTTAAATCAAGTGTTTCCATGGGATCCTTAAACAACATTCTAATTTATTTTACTAAATATTTTGCTTAAGTTGCTATAACAATGATCTTAAATTGCTAGTCAGGTTTGAAGTCTCATATTAACAAGAGATAAGAATAATATAAAAAAAACATATCCATACTAACAAAAATTTGCATATTAACATATCTTCTCGTAAATATTATTAAATATTGGAAAATTAATATATTTTGATAGATGTATTTGATAAAAATAAGGCCTTTTATAAAAGTAGACTTTATTTAGTACATTATACTTCATAAAAGTTACTACATTGGTAGTATTTAATTCGCATATTCAAAAGTTTAATTTTAAGTCATAGTCAACTTTTTGATTAGTTATATTGTGATCCGTACATATTAAATGAAACAAAACTTCAAAGAATAACGTATTAAAATTCGTTAAAGATTACGACAAATTAATAACACGCTATGAAATGCTCGTCCATCACAAAGTACTGCCACTAATGACGCTATGAGCTCGAGCGGACCGCTCGTGC